TGGCGGACAACATCCAACAGCACATTGAAATCAGCAAAGATTTTGATTTTGACATTAAACATAGCTTCTTCATTAAACATAGCACTCTTCATTTAGCTCAGCTATAATGTGTTTTTTNTGAATAATTATTTATTGATTTATGTACAAAATTGAATGATTTATGTACAAAATGTCTTTCTTGGTAAAGTGAAATGCTCTATTACAAATAAATATTTTAATTAATATACGTTTATATTTATTCTCATCTCCAATAAGACTTATGTTGCAATTGATTTCATGTTGGCTGTAGGTATATCTTTTTGATCTGAAAATAAATTGCAACATAATAAGGTACCAAGTTTATCCATACTAGCCCCTAGCTTGTCCACATTAGCCCCATGTGCTAATTTACAACCCAGTGCCTTTTAACGACTTGTCCTCTTTTTTTGGAGACTTTCCTCTTGCTTGTAGTTGGTCGAAATAATACTGCATGCTTTTATTTTTCTTAAAATCTGTTACCTGAACTGGAAAAAGTCAAGAGTCAAGTTCTGATTTATTTAAGAAAATGCCAAACAGGAGAGCTGGTCGTTGAACGTCACTGGATTTTATAATCGCACCCCGTGTGAATAAAACAGCCTTTTAAAAAAAAACTAAACAACTTTGTAATTTCAATTGTAAAACTAAACAACTTCGCAATTAACTTTGAGATGGGATGCGGGACACTGCAAATGGAAAATGACGCACTCTGGTAGAAAACTGGGGGCCGTAAGTTTGATCCTGCCAGAAAACAAAACTACTGCTGTGTATATGCCACAACGTGCACTTCAAATCTGTCAAGAGATGAAAGTCCTCTTATTGGTTGTTGTGTAAATGCTTGAAGAAAGGCGCATACCTGTGTGATTCATCTTTACTGTGTGTGTTTGTGTCATATACACATTATCAACTATTGCTGAGCATTTTATAAAATCTCTTTTATAAAATGCTCTCTTTTATAAAATCTCTTTTATAAAAAAGGAAAAAAAAAAATTTGAAGATTCCCCGGTTTATCACTCGGAAATATAGTTGCAAGTAAACAAAAACTTGCAAATGAATGAATAAAACTACATGAAATAGCTGTAAATCTCGGAAATTTTTTTACTTAAAAATAATAATGTAATAAAAGCACGTAGTTCAACTGTTCAATTATATAATAAAAAATAAAAATAATTTTTTGACAAATATGTATTTTTAGCTTGTATTTTACGAAAAGATTTTCCTTTGTTCATATGAAACAATGATGGTAAGATTATATTTCTCTTATAATTGAATGAAGTTTATTTTCATACTGTGTGTTGTTTTAAAATAAAATGATTATGTTGTGAAATAATGTTTGCCATGATTTTTTTTATTTTTTATTCTTAACTACTGCAGTGTGTAATTTATTCTGCAGCTCGGTAATGAATCTTCAGAATTTTAGAAAATGGAGGTCGGCAGATATGATATGCTCATTCATAAAACTTAATAAGATATAATGTTTGAAAATGTTTTACAGTGTTGTTTAAGTATCATAAAAACAGTTAAATATATATTTAAAATTTGGTTACTTTTACATTTTCAAGCTATCGAAAGCAATTTTATTTTAACATCGTCGTTAAACATTAACCTTAGCTTATGATTATTTATAATACTAGCAGTGTGTTTATTACTTTGATTTTGAATTATTCGCTTAAAATTTGAGAGAAGAAGTATATATATATTATTTTTATCATGTTTAAAATAATTTAATAATAAAATAGTGATAGTAGTAAAAATTTCTTTGGCTTAATATTTTAATTAGCTAAAGAACATTTACATTATAGTAAAAAAAAAATTTTTAATCAATTTAGGAAAGAATCTTGTTTAAATTTTCATCTGTAAGGTACTGTATATTCTTTGTGGAATCAATTTTTTTAAATACATAATATAGTCCTTTTATGGCTAATTCATCAATACCAGAAACTCCTGCTTCTGCTCAATTTTTTGAATTTTCATTTTATAAAAATTTTTGCTTAAAATGTTTTCAAGTAACACCTACTTTTTTTATGTTCATAACACATAGTCTATAATCAGGAAAATACAGGCAATGAAATTGTTTTTGAAAAAAATCTATTTTGTCGTAGCAGCGTTCTCAAAAGAGTAATTGATTGTATTCAAGTTTTGATTATTCATACTAAAGGCAGTTTTTAAAAGATAGTATAAAAAATTTTATACTTTTTTTATATCATTCTCGCATGCAATTATGTGTTTGTGAATATTTAATACAGATAAATGATAATTGTGAAATTACAAATGGCTAGAGTAAAATGAGAGATGACTAGAGTTAATAAAATTGGCCAGATGGATTAAATAGCTTCATTTCCTAAAAAAAAGGAAGAAAAAAAAAGGAAGACATTTAAAATTAAAAATAAGCACTTAGAAATGATTAAAGTTATAAAATTTATCAAAAAACTCATTTCATAAAGAACAGAAGAAAAAACAAACATCAATAAAAGTTTAGGAACTCAGGTATTATTTCTTAATTAAATTTGAAATATTTATTCCAAAAAATCAACTGGACACAAAATATACTTTGGAATAAGAGGGAGGAAAATGGATGGTATCTGAATTTGGTAATAAAATTTTATTTGGTGTTTCTGCATTGCTAAGTGAATAATACGTGTAATGACATTACAAAACTATTGTTCCATGTTTTACTGTTTCACAGCAAAACAGGAAATTTGGTTAAATTATATTGTTGAATTATTCTACTACCATCCAAATCTTCCCCTCGCTTAACTCCAAAAATAAAATGTAAGCAAGATAATATTAGAAAATAACAAATCTAATATTAATCGAAAAACGAATGCAAAATAATGTTATGACGAACGCTAGATAATATTAGTTTGTATAGAATCTAATGTAATGTAATGCAGAGAAGACAGCGACCTTTTGTATCTTCCTAATATTAGAAAGTTGTGCAAAACGTTAGGTTTTACTGGTTTTCTGATGTTATCTAATATTAGGTGCTACTTGGGAAAGCTTTCACATTTACTCTCCAGAATGTGTAAAATACGAATATTTTAAAGTTTAATCTTAGCGTGGCTTTCTTTAAATTATAATGCGCAATCTAAACAAATAAGAAACGGAAGATATAGGTGTAGAACTATCAGAAATGATGCATTGACCTACTGCCCCACATCGTAAACCTCTGGATTGCCTAGATAAATTAGCGTCACTCTATTCCTTGCGACCTTTGCGACGTTTTCGATTACGCTTGGATGTCGCAAATCACGTGGGTAAATTGTCGCCATTTTGCGTACCAGTTTAAACGGCGAAGTATCATTCCGCCAGATTCGTTATTTTTATTTTCGCTTTTCTTTTTACTTTTTTGTTACATACTTTTAAATTAATAATGAATGGTTGTTACACATTCGGGTCTTCAAATAAGTCAAATTTGAGCCTTAAATTATATCACTTACTTGATAAAAATTGCAATGAAAAACGACGGAAAATATGGCTGCATAGAATTGGCAGAGATAAATGGAATCCAAACGAAAAGAGCAGATTGTGTCAGGTAAGTATAAAATTAATTTATTTATTCATTTGTTACAAATTTTACATGATATTATTTATTAACTATGTAAAGCAAATATGTTTCATTTTTTTCTTCAAAGGGAGGTTTGACAAATTTAATTTTATTAAGTATGCTCACCTTGCAGAAATGAAAATAGATTGCAAATATTATTTTCAACTTAAATAATTTTTTCGTTGGAAAGCTTTAAAAATATATCTTAAAAGCATTTAAATATTTGAGTGATGTGTTACCAGAACTGAAAGTAAACAAGCGTAACATATTAAATATTTTTCAAATGACTAAATTTAAAATTTCTACGTTTTAATAAGATAATCTAATTGCTATTTGAACTCTTAGTTTCTTTATTTTCTATTATTTTAAATATTTCATTCATTATAGTAAAATTTTGTGAGAGTGCGAAATAAATTTATTATATTTTATATTCAGAATTTGAATTCTCAGAGAAATATTAATTCTTGAACAAATCGGAAGTCATCTATTTTGTTATTAAATGTGATAAAACTCCCATTTTCTAAATATTGACTGTTTTATCACATACATTAATTTTAAAATATTTAAAAAACTTATATTATTTTAATCATATCTAACTATTGGTGATCGAAATTGGCTACAGGTGGCGTAGAGCAGAACTCTTTACTTATGACAACTCTTTGCATTTTCAAATAGATTAAAAACTTTTAAGTCAGGAAACTACATTGAACTGAAAACTGCATTGAACATAGTTCCAAAAGAGCTTTGTTGAAATTTTAAAAAAATATTTGTGACATTTAAATACGAAAAATACTAAGAAAGGTGAAAATATCACAGTATATTCCTATACAACGGAGATGAGGTGGAGAGGGAAGGGTCAAGCTATGGAAGCGGAAGCCCCAGATGCGGTATTCGAGCATTGCGATCGCGAATATTTAACCCTTTGAACTTCAAAAAAAATAGACTGCTAAAAATTTCAAATAGTTTAGAAAAAAAGTTATAGCATGGACCAAATTAAATAGTTTTAACTTATAGATAAGATATTATTTTTCCTGAATGGAGTAAAAACAAATTGTATAATTTCAGAAAGAAAAAAAAATAATTTAGAGAAAAATATAGTAAATATTTAAGTTATCTTTAAGAATAATCCATCTGGGGAAAAGACCGGTTTCATGCCTTTTCCCCTCCCTCTCCTCTTTTCAGTTGCATAAGATTGTACTACGATTTTTTTCTTTTCCTGATATTTTTCGTATTTAATTGTTAAAACTATTTTTTAAAAATTTTCCATGGCGCTTTCTTTTCAAACTATGTTTAATGAAGTCAAGTTCCACATAGTTTCCTAACTTAAAAAAATTTTAATCTATTTGAAAATCAAGACAGAAACCAACGTACTTCCTACTTCTTCACTAGAATGATTCACGCCTAGCTTACAACTCTGAATAAACCTTTAATGGAAGTAAAAGTTGTTTTTCTTGGTATTTTTCATTATAGCGATCTCCTCTTTTGGCTATCGTGGCTTAAATAGAGTTTTTTTGAATGGAATGTTCAAGACAACTCAATTTTATCTTTTACAGAAATGGGGGTACCGATGTTTATGTTCTGTTTTAAAGTAAGCTAGTTTTAGTTTTACTAAAGAATTAAATAGCTGAAGGTTTTCTAAAAAATTGATTTAACCATCAGAATGATCTTATTTTCTTTTAAGACTTGTATGCAATCTCAATTGATTTCTTCTAATTTTGCAATATTCCTAATCAACTTTCACAAACTTTTGACATTTGACCATAAACCGTAGAATTCTTTATAAATAAAGCCTATTTTTAGTTGGTTTATAATATGTATTATCATTTTTCAGGGTTTATTATTTTATTCTAACTATCCTGCTGAATTCCAGTCACGATCGCATAATGTACAATTTGTTTCTATATACTAATTCAATATTTAGTTAACTCGGTCATATTTAAGATTATGATTTAAGTATTATGATAGAAAGGGAAGGGTGTTTGTTCTAGATATCTGACTTGTCGTCAAATCAAAAATAAGTCCATTAGTATTTTGAAACTTTCTATTATTTATTTATTTATTTTGAATTATACAAATTATGAGACACATAGTGTGTGGAACTATTTTTAATTAAAAATCATAGCCGTTATTTATAAATTATGTATTTGTAAAAGTGAATAATAAAATGCTTTATAATGTATGGTGTTGTAGATAGGAGTAAAAAAAAATATTCAAACTTTGTGAGAGCTAAAATCCATTTTTAAGTACCAGCATGTTATGGATTGTAAAGTAGCCTGCATTATTCTTTTATGTCAAATTTTACTTGCATTTTGGGCTCCTGCAGCGATTTTTGTTTTCCTTACGAACCTAATGTCCAGAATTGTAAAACACGGTTCTCGGTATATGACCATAATCAAGACTTTCTAGCAATGGTTAACAGATGGGTGGCCACTTTGATCAGCCCCATCCAGAAGACAAGTAAATTCCTACAAAAGTGGCAAGACTGTATATTTTTTAAAATTTATTTCAATTGCATGAATTGAGAAATATCATTTGTATATTTTAGTTGGTTAGAATGGGCTCCAATAAAGAAATATCTCATTTAAAAGAAAAAGACATACATTACTGTGTATAAATTAAGTGCATAAATTGTAAAATCGCAATAGTATAAATTTCTGTATTGATCTGCAGAATCCGTGATTAGTAATTTTAACTATAAGTAGTAATTTTTGTTTGGAGGGCAAAAATATATAAACATAATTAATGTGACATTGTATCTACTGCCATGCTGCATTAATTTTGCTACCAAGCATAACGTTATGAATTTTTTTTTATTATTATTATTATCAAAATAGTGTTTTGAATATTCCTCTGTGTAAAACCTGAATGTCATTTTATAACTATTTAACATGAATTATCCTTTGAATTAGCTTTGAAATTGTAAAAGTTGTGTAGCTTAAAAATTAAATAAAACCTGATGTTTAATCTAATAGCTGCCGTGCTATTTAGGCACATTTGCAAAGGAATTTCCCTACCTAGAACAGTTTGAATATTGAAGGAGTTTTCTTTTTCATATGAAATGATGTCTTTTTGACAAAATTTATGCTATTTTTGTTATTATTTTGAGTTGGTAATGGTTACTAATTAGTGTTAGATTAAGTTTTGTCCACCTGTAACCAGTGCTTTTTCTACTAATTATGAAAATGGTGCAAACTGACTAGAAAAGGCACAGTTTTGTAAAAATGAAATGATTTTATGATCTAATATTTGAATATGCTCTTTAGACTATGCTGTTTAGACTCATAAAAATATGCAAAAATAAAGTATTATTTATTTATTTTAATCATTTTTATCTTAGTGAAAAAATGTTGTCAAATTGGTGATTTTTCAACCCAATGGTGGTTCGACCAACAGTCTTCCCAAATAGTTGTGCATATAAAAAACTTGACTGCATTTTCTATCTATAAATACTCTTGCACATAGAAAAAGTTTCTGATTCACCTTTATACTCTGAAATGGTCTTACGCATAGAATTTTCCTCTTTTCTTTCTTGCTTATGTGCTACCTGCCTAGCTCACCATAATTTATATCCACTTCAGTACATTACAAAAAAGTTTGATAATTTAGAAAATGTAAAAATAAAAATTTCAGATTTACTATTATTTTTTCAAAGGGTAAAGAGGTTGAAAAAAAATAATAAATTTACAAATGTATTAATTCTTTTGCCAAGTTTAGACATTTCTTTACAGTTAGTATAGTGTAAAATTAAAGCTCTAGTTCTAGTGTAAGATACAGGAGCTTCTTCAGAGAATACCTTTAAATAACATAAGGAAGAACAGCTTTTTTAAACCTGTGTGGAAAAATAACGACGTCTAACTTTGAAATTCAGTTCCGTTTGATAATTAATGGGTTATATGTGTGTTCAATAAACTAAAATACTTATATTTACAGTATTATATAATATACATATTTCTCATTTTTTTTTTCAGGTTTAAATTTGAAGATATGTGTTTGTCAAGATTTGTATATTCTAAACTCTTCCTTGTCAAAATGATTCTATGATATTCTCTCACCTTAAATGATGAAATACTCCTTGCGATGCTATGAACTATTTTCTCCACCACTAGAGTAACTTTCACCAGGGGTTCATACAAAAAGTTCTCTAATGGGTGAAATAGTATTTTATAGATCACAGTATAAATACAGCAGAAGTGATGATTCAGAAATTTCACTTGAAGTTGGTGATATTCTTGAAGTGAAAAAACCATTCCAGTTTACTCTTGAAGGCACAGAAGAGAATCCTGAAGGATGGATTTTGGGTAGAAATCAAAGAACAAATGAATGTGGATATTTTCCTGGAACTTTTGTCGAATATTTGAGAACAGAATTGCTCGTACCACCTACTCCTGTACCCCAAAGGCCTGTTCCTCGTCCAGAAATTGCCACAAGGAATATTGAAGAGACTAACGATTCAGGTTATCTTGGCTCTCCAGGTTTGTATGAAAAAGTTATTATAAAATGAGTTTAATGACTTGAATCCTATAACTATTATGGGGCTGCAACCTACTGTGGACCTTTGCTTTCTAAACAATGGTTTTCCTAACTTCTCTATTCTTAGCTTTGAATTTCTAGCTATCTGCAAAATATTAAGTTAATTTTGATTTTTCAAACTTTTAAAACTATAATTTTTAATATATTTTTTTTTAAATTGTCCTTATGTTGTACGGTCATAAACGTTCTTTTAATTGAATACACATGCTTTTCCATAATCTTGAATAAATTTATAACCTACTAGTTAAGAATTTTAATAAAGTTTAGTTTTCATTTTATTTTTGCATTTAAATATGTTAGTCATTGTTTTGCAAAATTTCGTAAACCTAATCTAAATTTTTCTTTAGCTTCAAGTTTAAATAACTTCTTCCACAGAAGTTATTTTAACTTCTTGTAAATAGTATTAGAATTTTTGCCTAATTAGAGTGTTTGTGTTCAGTCTGTAACATGTTAAAAAGAAAAATTAGATAGTGCTTGCAATTTTATACTACTGGTTGATTTAGTCAACCTTAGAACTGACTATAAATTTTAGTAATTGGTTCATTTCTAGAATATTTGTTATGTGTGAAATATTTTAATGCCAAATGTTAGTATTATATTCATTATGAAAAAATATCCCTATACTATTTACATCCTTACATTCTATTAAGTTTAAATAGTAATTTCAAAAATCCAGAAAAAATGTTTTGGTGATCAAAAGTAATTGTAATAATATTTCCATATTTATTATAAATTTTGTAGTCTATAACAGATAAATAAATTATTCTAAAATAAAAATTTTTCTTCATTTTCTACCTGTCTGTTTTGTGGATATATTTTTTACTGTTACTGTAATATAACTACTATTATAATCAAGCCTTATTATTATAACAGGATTGCTACAGGCGACTATTTGCAACTATTTTCGACCAACTTGATTTGCTTTAAAAGGCTAAAAAAGCAACTATTTTCAGGGAAAGGTGACTTGGGAGACTTTTCTGTACTGCTAGCGATATTTTTCAGCATAAATTGGGTGAACACACACAGATTTTTGTCCAACACAGAGATTTTTTTTTCTCAAAAAATAAAATATGTTGAAAATTTTGAGTTGCAAATTTGAGTCATCACTTTTTAATGCATTCAATTTGCTCAGATTCCATTCTAAGTCTATTTTGTTTTTCAATGCTTATTGCTACGAAATTCTGCATGATTTTAAAGAAAACATTTTTTAAAAGCATGTTCGATAGAAATATCTGATCATAATTTTAATTGACAATATAAGCAATTTTTGGGATGTAGGGCTTAACTATGCATGGAAAATGTTTTTCTATAACCTTAGTACACATTCAGTCAGTGTCACATTGTTAAAGTGTTAGCATGTTATTAGTTATAGGTTTCAATTTTGAGATAAAATAACAGGAAAAAGTTGATTGATTTTATTGCATTCTATTTGATTAAAGCTAGGGAATCTTAAGCAAAAACAATTCCCATAATTTTAAGCAAGTGTTATTGGACAAAGCAATGGGCAACACACAGATAAAAGTGCATTACAACTGCTACAAATATGGTCACTCATTATTGGAGAGTGAAACATGTTTTGGTAGGGTCTTGACATCCAGAAACTTCAAGTACAAGATCTGCGTAATGTTCAGTCTTTCATCCTCAAACACTTCTCTAATTTTGCAGAATGTTTCCAATGGAGAAATCCTGAGCTTTGGACAAGCTTTGGTGCCGTAACATTGCTCAACGTTTTCTGTTATTTTAACCCAGAATAAAATCTGGAAACTCTTACTTATATGTGCTTATTTTTCAATGTTCAACACTGGTGTTGGGGTCGTGATCAGTATGTGCACAATAGCCGCTAAATTTTGCTTTGTTGCCTATTAAAATTTCAGTTTTTTTTTTTTTTTAACAGTCCTTATAAAAGTATAAAATGAGATTAGTTTTACTAAAATTTATTTTTCCTTTGCAGCTACTGGAAATCAAATACTAAGGCGTCCTTTTTATCAACATAGCCTCATTAATGTCTTCTTCTTAACCCCAGTATTATGCAGGCATTGTAAGTACAGCAATTTTATCTGTATTATATTGAGACTTTTTTTCTGAATATTATTTATTTTAAATGCTTGCAAAATTATAAAATCCTTCCCATAAAAAATTAAAATCATTTATAATTTTTAATTGTAAACAAATTTTTGTAAGTAACATTAATGAGCTAATGTAAGGGTGCACAACCTTTTTGAGTGAAGTGCCATATGCGTAGCAGATAGTCTAACAAAGGGTCGCATGCCAAAGTATTTAGACAAGACATGTTGACAATAATTGTAGGCAGTAATTGTTGTATAAGCATTGTTCTATGCACTAAATTCTTTTCTTTTTTTCTCAGTTAACCTTGTAACATGTTTGCATAAAATTAAATCCTTTTAAATGTTTAAAACTTGAAACTGCGAAACTAAATAATTAGAAAATAAAACAGAATCAGAATCAATTTATCAGAAGAAAAAAAAATTTAGATGATTTGAAATAATTAAAAGCATGGGAAAATTCGTGTTTTTTTTATCACATTACATAATGCAAAAGTCCATTTAAGCATAAATTTTAACATTAAAAAATTTGTACATAGAATTAGATTTTTTTTAAAAAATTATTCTAGTTATTAAAATAAATACAAATCAAATTCTGTGATTAAAAGAAAGTTTATAGGGGTAAAAATGATTAAAATCAAAACAATGCCCTTTCCGCTCAAAGCAAGATTCAACATTTATTAAGGAATATACTTCAACTTTAAAACATTTATTTTAAATAAATTATGAGAGAAACAAAAGAAGGAAAGAAAATTATTAATTTTGAAGGAACTATTTTCCTTAATAGTTAATAATAAAAAAACTATTAAGATACTAGTTTACAACTCTTTATGACCAATACTTTTTTTAACATGAAACTTAATTTTGAACATTCCGAATTTATTTTGAAAAACATTCTTTCAACAGAAGCTGCTGTTGTGGGCAGTATTGAACTTAATCAAATAATTTAATCAGTTTGGGAATTTGTCCCAGATGATGCTCTTCCTTTCCTGATTTTTTAAATTGCGTGAATATGAATAACGATACTTTATTTTTAAATCCCTTGAATACGGATTGCTATACGTGAATTTTAAATTGCGTTAATAAAAAATGCGCTATATTGTTTTTAAATTGTGTAAATACGAATCGAAATGTATGATTCTTAAATTGCGAGAAAACTTGTCAGGATATTCAAAAACACAAGTAAAAATGCAGCAATAATGGCGAAACAAAATGTTCTGGAAAAACTATTTATTTTTATGTTAAAATCAGCTAAAATAGAGTACGCAGAAAGTGATTATTTTAATGCACGATTCAATACTCGGGTGCCGTGAATTTAAATTATTAAAAATATCACCTTTTTTTTATTTGCAAGGAAAAGCATAGTAACGACTACTGAAAAAATTATTAAAATCCCTTTATATTTATGATTAAATCGGCATAAATAAAGGGATATATTTAAATGTCTAATTCGAAATGAAGGTGTCATAATAGTGTATAAGAAATATTGGAACTTTCAAGACCTTGTAGAAATCTGTAGCAATAATTGACAAAATAACGATTGATAAATAATTTGATTTGTAATGAAATTTTGCACAAAATGGTTATTTAAATTAGTGATTTGTTACTCGTGATTCATAATAACATTGTGCTAAAAATATCAAAATTTTAAAAACCATGCGGAAATGTGTAGTAATAATGCCCAAGAAAAGAATCAAAAGTAATCTAGATTTGCAATAAAGTTTGCTCAAATAAAGCATTTCATAACTTTCAAGATGTGAAAACATATTTACAAAATTGTAATTTCAGAAACTATGTGAAAATGTGTTACAATAACTACCAAAAAATCATTGGATTTTGGACGAAATTGGCATATTTTTTACGATTAGCGTCAAAAGAGATAATTAAAATTCAAAATCCGTGTATCATAATAGTGTTGAATTTAAAATATTGGGATTTTTAAAACTATGTATAAATCCATAGCATTTACCATTTAAAAAAAAATGATTGAAAAATTACATTAATTGAGATTGGGTATATCAAAAACTTAAATGTGCAATTTCAAATTTCTATTTTTTTTTTAATTTTTCGGAGAAAAAAAATTTAGAATTATTTTTTTATTATTATTTTGTTCAGGTTGCCCTTGCCGCACATTGATAGTTAGCGGATCGCAGGTTGTGCACCCCTAATCTAATGCTTCTTATGCTTTTGTTGCTGACTTTTTATATATATAATCGTACTTTAAATTTTGTGAATTGTGGGGATATCTCAGTGCTATATTTTCAATCTATCTTATAGAACTTTTAACATAAAATTTAAATGGATGTTATATCAATTAGAAATAATAATTTAGGTTATTGGATTGCAGTTGCCAAAACTACATGACCAATTAATTTAATGTTTCTGAACCAGTTCAAAATCAACTAAGATTTATCAAGCGGAAGTTATCCTGCTTGTGCATCTAATTTGATTTCTTATGGCTAAAAAGCATGTGGGATTTGTATTAATTTGTGTTACATATTTGCAAATTAATGGTATAGCAAATTAAGCGTTAGTATTGCTAATGAACACATTGGCCAAATGACTTGTCTACTATTTCTTTTATTCTTTGTTTTCTTTAAATTACAATTTTAGTATAGATTCACTAAATCTTTCGAACACTTCTCTAATGTCTTACAAAGCAAAAAGCTCTATTGAGGTGAAAAAGCACCAAATGTTAAACAAGTTTATAAGTCATTTAGTCAGCATGTTTACATCCCATTTCAAGTCTTATAAAGGGTTGATAAATATAAGGGTTATATTCATTTAAAAAGACATCATATTAAAATTATGCGGGGTTATATTAATTTTACTTTGTGAGTGTGCATACTTATTGTAAAATTTTGTTCTATAATCAGGTATAATACCTGATAGGATTGGTTGAAAACTTCTTAATCATGTCTGATTTATAATACTATCTATTTTTGTATCTGTGAATTTTTTTATTTTTTTTAAATTTTCTTTACATTCAAACATAAACTCAAATACAGTGCAGAACCCGTTATCCGGAAATCAGTAAACCGGAAAACCTAAAAACCAGAATGAAATTCGGTAAATTTTCCTGCCATTTTCTTAAAAAAATGTTTTCTTCCTCATAAAATTTTAGTATTTTTCTTTCTTTTTTTAAAGATGTTTACCTTACCATCATTTTGGAAATAATCATTAGTATATTACTTCATCGTTTTTTCTTCTTTTTAAGATTATTTCCAAATATTTATTTTTTATCAGTTGGGTTTAACAATAAAAACACGACTTTTTGAAGCGATTCAGAAAACCGGAAAAATCAGTTATCCGGAATAGCAATGGTCCCGATCGCTCCGGATAATCGGTTCCCTACTGTATTTCATTACAGTTTTTCTTTTGTAAATTATCTAATTCAACAAGGTTTTAAAACTTATCTTATAGCTTATTTCAAATTTGTTTTGGAAAAGATATTTAATTATTAGTTTCAGTTTGTCCATACCATACAGTCAAACAGTTTAATTAAAATAAGTTATTATGAAATATTACTTTTGGTTATTTTGTTTTGATATCTTTATTATATTAAACACTACTATTATGTATGCATATTTTTANAAAAAATGTTTTCTTCCTCATAAGATTTTAGTATTTTTCTTTCTTTTTTAAAGATGTTTACCTTACCATCATTTTGGAAATAATCATTAGTATATTACTTCATCGTTTTTTCTTCTTTTGAAGATTATTTCTAAATATTTTTTTTTTTTCAGTTGGGTTTAACAATAAAAAAACGACTTTTTGAAGCGATTCAGAAAACCGGAAAAATCAGTTATCCGGAATAGCGATGGTCCCGATAGTTCCGGATAATCGGTTCCCTACTGTATTTCATTACAGTTTTTCTTTTGTAAATTATATAATTCAACAAGGTTTTAAAACTTATCTTAAAGCTTATTTCAAATTTGTTTTGGAAAAGATATTTAATTATTAGTTTCAGTTTGTCCATAGCATACAGTCAAACAGTTTAATTAAAATAAGTTATTATGAAATATTACTTTTGGTTATTTTGTTTTGATATCTTTATTATATTAAACACTACTATTATGTATACATATTTTTAAAAAGCTGATGACGTTTCTTTTCTATTGGCAACAAAGAACTGAAGTATCAAGCTATTGAGCATTCAAAATGCATTCAGCATGCAAAATAACAACAAAAAATTCTTTTCAAAATATGCACATTTATTATTTACAGAAAAAGCTGAAATTTTCTTCAGCAAATGACAAAAAAAAAAATTATTAATTTGGTTTGCTTAGCTTTCGTAATAGTAACGTCATTTTTACTGCTTGAAGACATTTCTGCTGTTGTACACTTAAAATCAATCTTTTGGTGTATTCAGCAAAGAATTTTGAAGATGTGCCAGATAGGTTATGTCATATTTTTATTTGAAATACAAAACATGTAAATACGTCTTCATTGCTTTTTTTAAACATATTTCTAATTTTCAATGTATGAAATAGGCTTGTGAAAACATTGTAAATTTTTCTGTTACATTTTACTGTTAAATTGTGATTGCAGGGTTTGAAGTTGTCCTGATTTTTTTGATAAATACTATTATTTCCTGATTTTTAACTTTTTGTCCTGATATTCCTCATTTTTGTGTGTGTTTATAACATCTCATTTTCTCTGAATACAAATAGGGTTTTTAAAACAATTTGAAAAATCGTAAGATTTGTTTTTTTCGATTCCATCATCCCTTTATTTTAATTAATAATGCTAATAAAAATTGCAAAATTCAATAGTTCTAACCTGGGGGCTGTCTGATAGCATTATAGTATATGCTCAGATATATTTCCTTTTCTGCAAGATTCATTATTTCAAACTTTTTGAAAATTCAATAAAAGTTATTTTTGAAAAAGTTATTCAACAATTTTTTATATTATAATGTTGAATTGATGTATCATCTACTAAATTACTTTAGTACAAAAATGTTAAGCAGCTT